TATTATCCTGAGACATTATACCAAACCCTTCCAATACTTAGTCTCTCTGTCTGTCAAGGGTAAGAGAGGTGCCATGACAGATGTTTAACTATTCATTTAACTTGTAAATTGCGCCCTACTTATATCAATAATTATTTTTCTTTGGTTAATTGCATTGAAGGGAGGTTATTTTATCTCCATTATGACTTTTGCAAACATTAGTGAAAGAATGAAAAGAAGAAATGAAGACTACATGCAGAAAAAGAGACACAAGTGAAGGTGCATTCATTCTTTTGTTTACCAATACCAAAACAATTGGTACAAAAATGTCTTGTTTACAAAGTACAAAAGTTTGTGCAGCAGCAAAATTATTAAAAGATCCCTTTAAAATCACACAAGGGATTGACTTTCAAGCATCCTAAACACCTTAACATTTGTATACAACCAAAACTATTTCAATAAGTCAGGGGCCTGTTTCTAGAAACACTTCAAATGAAGTGTAAAAAGCTTCTTACTGAGATAGAAAGATCTTTGAAACATTTAGACCAGCTAAAGCTAAATTACATTGAACTAAGTAAGTGTTAAAGGAATAAAAGTTGTAGTGCACTTGTCTTTCTGGTTGTCCTCTAAAACGTTTCATTTGGTCACCACATCCCAGTCAGGGAAATGTCAAGTTTGCATAGATCAGTCGGTGGCCTTGCATATAAGTCGTCAATATGCAGCGCATGTTTTAGAGTAGACGATATAGCTTAAAACCTTCCTAAATAAATAAATATTGTTCTTATAAGTAGACTTAAGGCTGAGCAGGACATGTATACTAACTGGCAAAGTTTACTGAAGATGCTACAAAAAACTGTTGAATTAAGGTTGAACATCTGTAGATGATGACACTATGCACACTGCACTGTTTGTGACACTGAGAATGGGGACTATGCTAACCATTATCTTGCATTCTGCTAAATGTTAACAATAATCCTTTACAGACCTTCTCCATTTCTAAACATGTTAGTTTTTCTAAAGGAAGCTGAATCCTGGCAGTATGGCAGCTATTCCTCTTGATATTTGACCACTGCGTACATCAGGTCAGGTCAAATGATAGGTTTGGCACTCTAACTAATGGATGTTATATACTGTATGTACCCTGATGATGGTGTTTCTCCTTTCAACTGTATTTGGAATGTATATTACAAAAAAATGTTTTGATATAATTCAAGAAAAAGCTAAACAAATGCCATCTCTAAAACAAATCCCAGTGAAACCCAAAAGAAAGTTAGAATCCATGTTACACTATTGGTCAAAAATGCAATGCAAAATGTATTGTGATAGACTTTGCATTGCTTTTGTTGTTCATTGCACTCAACAGTAGAGCAAAACATACATTGACAGCTGCTGGCTTAATTCTTACTACAATATGAAAAAACAAAGTGTTGTGTTTCATGGCATAGTCGTATCGCATTAAGAAAGAAACGTCATAAAAGGTCACTTCATACTGCACACTACCATTCTATGCATTAATAAAATGAATACAAAAAGTGAATAGAAAAAAGGGTTTTGGGTCTTGAACAAATGTAAAAGGCTTTGAATGTTGTTTTGAAACTTTCTGGCAATTTCCTAAATAACAAAATAATAAACCTATCTTCCATCAAAGGTATTCCCTTAACAGACTGAAACATATATGAACATCTGTATTCAGTCTACATGTAATGCACACGCACTTGCACAGCACTATGATTGTCCATTAAGCACTAATGGAGGAGCCTCTGTGAAATAAAATATCACAAATCCCGTCATTCTGCAGCATCAGTTTAACAATAGTGTTCTGAAGTGAGATAGAAAGTGCTTTGCGTGCTTCCCATTTGTGTTTTCGCAATGAAGGCTTACATTTGTTTCAGTAGTCTGAGCTAAGTTAGTTTGAACAGTCTCACCAATTCACTAATGGCTCACTTCTATCCTTCTAGCCATCCAAACTTGTATTTGTTTTAAGGAGGAGGTAGCAATAAGACAGGCATAGCAGCCCAACACTGAGATTGTTTCTTTTGGTCAGTCCTCTACTCAAAAAAAGATTCTCCATTCAAATCCACCCAGCCTACATTTCTGTAGATGGGAATACACGGTCTGCCATGTTTTCTCTCTTTTCAATATACTCCCTCCATCAGAAAGGCACAGACATTTGGTATAATCCTCACATAGTGGAGCTTGACATGTTAATGCTCAGGCAACTGTGTCCTTCTCAGTGTTTTTCAAACTTTCCCCATCTGTGAGGCTCAGCAGAGCCAACCTCTGGTCACTGTTCCTTTTTCCATTTTCTTCTGGCTCTCCAGGTAAACCCACCAAGGCCTGGTTGGTCTCTGAGCTGCTCGGCTCTAAATCAGGATAAATGACCAGGAAACAGGCAGTGAGGAAGCCGAGGAAGGCGCCCCCGGAGGCAACTGCAGGAATGACACGCACACTCCCAACTGCATCTACCACAGCGCCGAGGGCCGATGCAACCAAGATCTGGCTGACATAGACCTAGAAAAGAAACAAGATAGAATGACACAACAGAAAAGTACACACTGTGAGGACATTCATACTTTCCATTGCTTCTTATCAACAGCAGAAAGACCTGAATATGAGGCAAAGTTAGAAAACAAACATCCAGTTCTTTAAGCTCACAGCCCTAAACATGACGTATCCGAATCAAAGTCCATTTATCACTAGGTCGTCGTTAGTTGATGCTTTTTTCAATATCACAATCTAATTTGTCTGGACACGACTGGATCAGTTTAAGTTCAGAGCTGAAGGGGGAAAGAGTATAAATGCTCACCTGGCAGGACAAGATAGCGCAGTCAATCCCAAAACCTCTTCTTGTGTTTGCTGGGCTGTGGTGAATGTACTGAGCAGAGGGACAAAGAAGAGAGTACCATAAACCGTACTGTAGATTGTCAGCGTCTAGGTTTAAAAAGTACTATAATGTTGAGTATGTTTACAGACAGGGCAAACATGACGTTTTTTTAAATACACCTTAATCTAAAAAGTAATGATACTTAATATTTAAGATATGATACATATCTTAAATATTTGTGTTTGTAAGTGTGTTCAGTACTCTCATGTATCTTCAGGTTCTGACAGCGTGCGTGGATATTTGAGTTTATTGTCTGTTTCTGTACGTACCTCTTTGATCTCATGGTACTGCCCGAGTAATGCGTAGGGACAGTAGGAGATACTCATGGAGATGATGCCCATGCTACTGATCATCACCATGGCAACATAAACATTAGGGAAGATCGCCATGAAAGCCGTTCCTAAGTTCAGAAAGATGAAATCTGTTTAAATTACATTTCCTTTTATTCTCCATACCCATTAAGACAACTGGTCCATAACCAACTTCACAACATTATAGTCAGCTGTTTATTCTCTTGTGGAAATGTACCTATTGAGAATCCAAGAGTTCCAACAATGTAGATAATCTTAATGCTCAGATCAAAGTTATCCAGGTACTTCTGAAGGATTGCTGGAGTGGAGAGATGACAAGAAAATATAAATGAATGAAGACTACAGCAATAATGAGATTGAAATGTAGGTTTAGGTTATACCAGAGCAGACAGCAGCAGTAGCAGCGTAGACCACCAGCCCCCAGCAGCCCATCTGCACTCCTCTGTGATAGTTGAGTAGCTCTGTGGAATTGGATGGTGCCTGAAAAAAGTTGGATCATTTTAGCAACGCAATCATCATAGACTGGGTAAGTTAACTGACATTGTATTGTTTGAATAGCATACATGAATAGTGTGACATGCAATCAGTTAGCACAAGTGTCTTGAACAATACGATGTGTGTGTGTGTGTGTGTGTGTGTGTGTGTGTGTGTGTGTGTGTGTGTGTGTGTGTGTGTGTGTGTGTGTGTGTGTGTGTGTGTGTGTGTGTGTGTGTGTACCGTTGGGTCTCCATGGTAGATGACTTGCCCCATGAAATCAGTGTAAAACACAGCTTCAGCGATAATGGAGAACCATGTGAGGAGGTGACACACACACAATGTCCACAGCTGCCTCGGCATCTACGGAGAACAAAAAAGAAACAAGAACTCAAGACTAGCAGGGGAAACATGAAGGATGAATTTCACAAAAATGTGTTATTCATTAATTTAATAATTAATTTGCAACTGCAAACCTATTAAGGTTGTGAATTTGATGCAGCGCAATAGTAAAATAAGGGAAGGTCAAAAATACATTAATATTAAGGACACTTCTCATTGACTTCACCTTGAACATGGATAACCAGAGCAGCCGAACAGTCGTGCCCTTGTCTGGTCCTCCCTCAGAGCTGGAGCCCTCCGATGAGAGGCTGCTCGCTGACAGCAACAGCTCCCGCCGGTCGGCACGCCGATGGAGCTCGCTCAGGTCATTCAGACTCTGGGAGGTGGTGATTGGCCGAGGGCTCAAGGGCACTGCCTTTCGCAGTCGATATCGCTGTGATCCCACTCGTCCATAGTAGGAAAAAGTGAAGGAGGGCTAAAGAGAAAAAAAAGCATGAGCTTTTTCACATTTGCCAAAATACTATTAAAGAAAGTAGGTGTGAAAATGGTTAATGCAATTGTACCTGTCTGTAGAAGGTGTGTGGGTGTGGGCGTGAAGAAACTGAGGTCTTGGTCAGCAGCTTAGTGGGGGCGTTGTCTTTCATTTCACTGAAATGGTCAGAAGAGGACAAGCTCGCATTGGCACCGTTGACAGCCTTGACCTGCTGGGACACAAGAGGAACAGACGTATTAAAGGAACAAATTAAACTGAATACATGGGACAACATATCTGAAACACAGCACAAAAGTTCCATATAATGTCCAAGAGACAATATAGAAGATAATCGTGAGATGTTACCTGTTTTTTTAGGTTTGAGTTCTCTGACCCAGAATGTATCTGAAGGTGAGGAGGAGGGCTGTTTGTTGAACCCTTCGACTCAGTACGAGCTGGATTTTTAGAGGCTACCATCCCATCAGTAAGGTCAGGGGGTCCACCAGAAGGAGAAAGGGTCCCAATAATGTGATCTGATGGCTGAAAAGTATCTTGTAGCTCTGCCTGCGTCTCTGGTAGAAAGCGATGCACCTCTGTCAGGAAATGTTGTGAGTCTGGATCGAGATCAGAATCCATCTCGATTGTAGCGTCTGGCATGGCTAAGACTGAGTCGCTTTTACTCCGCACTCTTTCCACAGTCAGGAAGTCCATGTCATCTTCCTCGGAATCTGATTCGTTGTCCTGCCGGGAAGACGCTCGAGCAGAAGCATCCTCCTCCGCTATCACATCAAGGAAAGGTGCCGAGTGACCAACAGGCCTCAAAGACAACTGACTGGTGGACACCGCCCTTCCTGTGACTTTAAGCCGGTCGGACGGAGCGAAAGATTGCTCGGGGATACTGAACATGTGCAGAGTGACAGAGATAATAAAGATGATGCCTGCGAACAGGAAGAGCACCTGTTCCTGTTCTTTAAATGCTTGGCCCAGAGCTGTGCCAGTCCAGTCTAGACCTCCCAGCATGTAGCCCACTGCCCCGCCCAGTCCTGAAGAGACAGGAATGGACGCATGTTAAAGTGTGCAAAGTCTAAGAAACAAGGACAAGTATGAGCAGCTTATAAAAAAGGTACTGCCTCTATGTGTAGAACATTTGTAAACTCATTATGTAGGTGATATCACTTATACTGTAAATGCATGAGGATGTTTATGTATGCATTTCTTATGTGTTATTTAAATATTGGAGTCCCAACATGCATGCTGTCTTACCAGCAGAGAAGGCATGAATATTCAGAGCCATATCTTGCTCGTCAGTATCAGCAACATCCAGGAGGTACGCTCTGATTGGTCCCTCGGAAGCATCCGCACTGAAGTCCAGCACCACCACACCTAACACAGTGAGGACGATGCCGATTGGCTGGCTGCCGGGAGTATCACCAAGGGAAAGGCCTAACAGAACACATATCAAAATCAAACAAACATGGAGTGTAAACATTATTTGTTTTAAAGTTCAGATGGCAATCTCATTGGAACCGTCTACTCACCTATTACTGATCCATTTAAGAAGAGTGCCACTCCCAGCAGCACGCCTACACACAGGGCCAGAATGAATGGTCTTCTCCGGCCGATTCGCAGAGTACACCGGTCACTGGCTGAGCCAATCACAGGCGTGAGGAGGAGACCCAGGATAGGACTGAGGAACCAGGTTAAGCTGTAATATTGCTCGGGGAGACCTAAAAAAAAAACACACAAACAAATGGTAGATTCAATATTAAGATAAAGTGAAAGTACGCATATGTGTGACTCTGTCAAAGCAGATTGTTAAATGTTATTACATAGCTTGTCTTGTGTTCATTTTGCAATAAAGGCTATATCATTGAGATATGGCAACAAAAAAAGTTCCTTTACACTGATCTTTTCATATATGCTGTACTGTATGATACTGAGATCTGTTAAAGATTTGCAATGAGATTAATCTGATTGACATAGTATTTTTTAAACTGTAGTTAACTACTGCTGACTGAAAGACGGATATGAGCGCCAATGTCTCGTGTGATCAATTCCACAGCTCTTTTTTTTCCTGTCATTTTTGTAGAATACTCATCAATAAGACAAGGTGTTTATACGCTTGTCATCTAGGGGCCTATAATAGATCAAACTGTGGAAGTCTCAGCAGAGAAGTGTGCATGTTTTCCTATGATCTACTCGATCTAACATGACAGCTTTTACATACCAATGCATTCAAAACCACTAGTGCTCTCAATATGCTTCCTTTACCAATGTGTCTACAGTGGCAAGAGCATTTCAGATAATGAGGTTGCCTGTTACAACAAATCAGAAATATGCACCAACCAGCCAGGAAAGTGGTGAAATCACCCCCAGTTGTGAGACAGAACTAGGCTTTAGCATGCACTAAAAACAGGGAACAGTCATCCTTATCTTGCAGCTATTTCAATATCAATGTGGCTTGATCTTTTTCAGTGTACTAGTTTGAAATATATGGAAGATTTATTGCAGACAATGCCCAGCTCTCAGCTGGCAGTTATGATAACAAATGTCTCTGCTAAATGAATATATCCTAATTTTCCAATCCTTATAAAGACGTGGTTTCAATGTAAGAAGCGGACATTCTTAAACTCAGGCAGCTCGCTGGGTGGTGCGACTGGTTCTCACGGGAACAACATGTTACACATGCTGCCTTACTCTGCTCCAGCTTTCCCTCTCTTAAGACAACAACAAAGCTAGAATTATAGCAATACCTCTCTTGGGTACCATTAGGAGTTTTTGACCTGTAGTAGCCCTATGAATCAGAGGGAAATGCATTCAAGATGTTTGTTAGACCTCAAGGGCAACACAGTGTGTTTTAGTGAGTAACACTTTGTGCCAACATGACTTTTATTTGTTTTAAGAACAACTCCACAGGGCACATTTAACCAGATATATGACTCAGTCATTCAATAGGTTTGTGTAGCATGAAGGCTAGGAGGAACATCCTGCTTGAGTTCAATGTTATAAATGCTGCAGTACTACCTAAACAATGCTTTCAAACACATCCTCAATGGGATGTGCATAAAAGATTTTCAAATATAACCTTTCTTACAATAATGAGAATAGGGAGAAATGTGGAGAGGCTAACATTTGCTTTGTTAGACATTCTTGTCATACCTAGCCAGGGGAAAATACCTTTGTTCAATTTCTGCTATGTTGGCAAACCTCATCTACATCTAACTGCATAGCCCAGGGTTGACTACTGTTGGGCAGACAAGTTACATGACACAGTGGTGCAGTCTGGGAAATCAATAGATCATGTCTGGCTGTGAAACAACAGTCACATTCCACCGTGGTGGTGCTGTTACCTGAATACTGGTACAGCTGGAATGCAGACTGATGGGCGTATCCTTTTGGATAGCTGTAGTAGGTTTAAACAACAAGCCAATTATAATTATATATTTATAAACAATTAACCCATAAAAGGACACTCAGCTGACTCCGGGCAAACAGTCAAAGTGGGTCTGCCACTTTCCTGACACTAACCAGGGGAGCACTGCCACAGATATATCACTAAGATACCTAACATGTTTAACAGAACCTGCTACACATATGAACACATCTAGTGTTAACCAGCTTAAAACAATATATGGCTTCACTGATACTCTACCACTGTGTAACTTGTGAGGGAGGGTTTAAATACCTCCGAATAAACTGAGGAATGTCTTTTTAGACAGGTATGTGTGCATGTCAGCGGCACTAAGCCATCTGTTCCAACAAATTGGTCTGCTAATGTCCCATACCGATCACAACAAGGTGCACAGAATGGGCCAATACAATTAAGAATGTGAAAATTCCAGTGCGGTAAGTTTCATTGAATTTGTATGTGTAGATATGTAAAACTGTTCTGTCTGCTGCCGTCTGGCAGGAGTTACCACAGCATGAGGTCTAAAACCACCAGACTCAGGGACAGTTTCATCCCACAGGCCAGAAGACTGCTAAACACCTGAACTTTTGAAAGAACATACATAACATTCATCTGTTTGCAACTCACATATATCATATATATCAATATTCCAATTACTGTATATAGACTATTCTGCACAGTTTCTATCACATTCTGTTTCTATTATATTCTATTTAATTTAATTTACTTGTAGTATTTTATCTGTTTATTGTGTTGCACTGTTGGAGGAGCCAATGATTTTCATTGTCACCTCTACACCGTAGCTACGCACACATGACAATAAAAGCCTTGAAACTTGAATGTATGACAAAGTGGCATTACTAGAACATTCGTTGAAGCGAGTGAAGAGCAACAGTGTCTCTCTTGATATGACAGTAAGCGTCTCCTTACCTATCTGCAGCAGCACTGGCGTAACCAGGGCGGTTTCCATGGCGTAGCAGAATTCCCGTCCGAACATCACTGCTCCGTGCATCACCCAGCGATGCAGAGGGATGCGCATAACTCTGCCCACATCCTTCTCGCTGTCACTCTCTTCTGCTTCTTCCCTGGGTTTCCTCCACTCTGGAAGGCCATATGCCCCCCTCTCCTCTGCTTTTCCTCCCATTACAGTCTGGTAATGGGTTTACTTTGTTGAATGGCTTATATTAGTGTACAAATATGTATTTCTACTATTTTCAATACTTGGAGCAGAACTGTTCAATGTTATTAAATATAAATACAACAAGTTGAAAGTTGACAATTGTCCATCCGTTTCATCTTGATCATTCACAGTGTCTGCTAAGATATCCAGACATATTATTCATATTAAATAGCATGTCTGGGGGTCAGCACCTTCTGGGTTGAAAGCCAATGAATTGCAAATAATTGAAGAGTAGGCAGGAGTCATCAGTAAAATCAGAATGGGTCAAAAAGATATATGTGATGAAAAAAACAAATGGCCATACATGTTATCCTATGGCCATCAAGCTGAGATGTGACCAGTTGCACGGTTCAGGAGCTCAGTGGGAGAGCGATGGAGGTCCTCAGTGTGGTTTGCATGATTCATAATTCAGCAAGAGCAGAGACGCTTGCATTGCTCCAGAGTTATGTAGAGGGGAGGAGCACGGAAAAGCAGAAGAGGTAGCAGAAGGGGGGGTGGCGATATGTGTGTTGTTTGTTCCAGTAGCTGTGTTGGTATCCCTAGCTTAGAAGGGTTAGCTTAGGTTTGTGTATGTTTGCTGTAGCTGGTCAGTGAGTGTTGGAGATTGTGTGCATGCAGTACTTGGACTGAGAGAGAGGGGCTCAGCAGAAGTCTGTCTGTGTGTGAAAGTGAAAGCACTTCCTGGCAGGTCGGGTCAAAGCATGTGGAAACTTCTTGGCAAAGACCTACTAAGTGACACAGCAACCTGCAGAAAAACAAACAGCGGTTAGATAGTAAGCTAAAGCTCTTAAATACTAAAACTCCATCATAACTTATTGCCTGAATTTCTATGCATTCTCTACAGTCAATGACGGATAAGACTAACAAAGATTAGATTTTACTGTCTATTATCTGAGTATGGGGTCAAGGTCCAAGTAATAGAGTGCTGTGTTAAAATGAAACATTTTGCAACAATTTAACTATTTGAGATCGCTATAAAGATGTTCATCCATGCATCTTCTTGAGTCTGTTGAAGTCATTGAAATAACTTTGAACACTACAACAATAGCAGGCTATAAAGATGTCAGAGGCATGAACAAATGCCACATGAAATAACCCCTTGTTACAACACCGTAACTGGGTTGCGAACCGTAATAGCATTACTTTAAAAGCATTAGATTTTGGGGATATAGTTTATCCACACTCTCCTCGTTTTAACACAACCAATGTCAGTCAATCATAGTTCACATATAAGTTAATGTTTAAACAAAAATAAACTGAGCGTTAAAACGCCTCCCACAGATGAGAGAAAGTCTTGAGAAATGTTCTGCTGTGAGTAATTCACAGTGACTGAGTACTCTGCTCCGGTGTGCATTGACGAGTCTCCACAAGTCTCTTGCATTTTAAATGCGTGTTATTGTTCAAAGGGATGAATGATGGGGGTTGGTCTTGGGGGTTTGTTGAACCAGTTAAAACATGTTTAGCGTTAGTTAGCAGTTCTGCTAACAGTAACGCTGACTTACCTGAGCCACATACCGATCCTTCTATGTGTATTAACTGCGTACATCCCTACAGTCTACGTAGTTAATAACCAGGCATTATCAGTGACTTTAGCGTGACACATGGCGATAGATAAACACTTGACTCTGGACACAGTAGTGTTCACTTAACTACGCCTGAGGTTTGACTTGTGGCTAACGTTACCTTAGCAAGCTAATGTCAGGTTGGCTAATACATTAACGTATATCAGGCAGCTAACGTTAGCCGGTTAATACAGAGAGCCAGTATATTAAAGACAGAAACATGTTACATACCATAGATTATACTCCGCCAAGGTGAAGTCAAAGTAGTTCCGCGTCTGTCATGTTTTTATAACGTGACAGTAAAAGTTGTTTTAGGTTAGCAATCTGGCTAACCTTTTTCAGCTAACTTTAGTGACCATCTGCTTCACTACACTCATCAATCTCATTGGTTTCCACAGTAACAAAGCGGGGCGCGGCTGTAATAGGACGCAAATGACATCACCAAGCTACTCACCTACAGTGGGCGGACACTAAACCGGGGAATTTAAAATAATAAAGATTTACTTTTATATCATGTTATAACTAATTTATGAATTCAATATCAATGTTATTGCAATAATATTTCAAAAAGGGCAGGGTTGATTGTGATGCCCCTTCCAATCAACTTGACTGATACATTATAGTAATGACAATTGATCACATCTATGATTTGAAGAGTGGTATAATAATAACACTTTCGATAATGGGATATTTAACGTAGGCCTATTGGTTTTTGTCATTTTTTCTAACCACAATAGGCTACAAATAAAACTGGTTTTACATTTGCAGAACCAGACAAAGAGGGCTTAATTAAAATGGTATTATATACGTTTCACTTATTCCCTAGAGAACTTAATCCCATCGAAGTGAGATACGGAAATAATCTATTTTTGTCCAAAATGAGGAAATCACCAGATCAATACATAGGAGTCTTTGAATCATCTGAATGCCCCTTTATTTACCCCAATACTTTCTCCATTTGTGAATTGTTGTGATCAATTGTTAACTTAATAGCACATCATAATACAGTTTGTAATCATACAAAAATATTTACAACCCAAACATTCAAGTTGGAGCTTGTTTCAGTCGCCCAAACAGTTCCCCCTTGAGTGGTTGGATTTTCCTTAGTCTTATAATGGTCTTTGAAAGAGAGAGCAATGTTGCCCTCTGCTGCACAAAAGTGGTAATCATTCTGAAGTGCAACTGTGTTATCAAGGCAAAAATGAACAAAAATCTATCCTTCCCCATGGTAAAGACATTCAGGTTTGATCTGCTAACATTGTACTCCAATTGTATATTGTGAAGTCCTCCACGTTGATCCAATTCTGTTAGTCTGTCAGTGTAGCTTCCACTCCCAGGCAGGTATCAGTTTCAAAATAGCCTATCCTATCGATAACATCAGCATTTCGTAACTCCATGAGTTTTGGCAAGCAATGTTAGCCAATTAATCAAAGTATAGTAATGAAGATTACATAAAATAAGTTGTGTCATGAATTAGATTTAGTATTATGTGGATTTTATATTCAAGGATTAATATAAATGTTTTGTTTTCAGGTCCAAAGTTGTGGGAAGGTTTCTTGACAAGATGATAATGTGAAGTTGCAGACTAAATGGTCTCTTGTGAATTGTAATTCATTTGAGAAGTAAAAAAAGGTTGGTATTATTATTATCCTTATTATTATTCATATTATTATCAGCTGTTGTTCCTGAGCTCTTCTGAGTCCAGAAATATCTGTGTGACATGTCCGTAACTTCCGGTTGTCTTCACCTCCTGTGAAAGAGAATTAACAGTGCGTGGTTATTCCCCAGATTGTCTCTGCAGTGTAGGGGAGATCTTGGTCATCTTGATCATGTTATTAGTGATGGCGTTGGCCGTCCCTCCTGATGCATTGGAGCTGTGCTGCATGCTGATGATGTCGCCACTAGTCTGCTCTGGCTCAGCGCGGCGGAAAATATTTCTCATGGTAGCCTAAAGGAGGAGAGAGATTTAAATTATTCAGTGAATCGATGAGTAAATAAGTGAATTTATGATGGATGGATGAACAAATGGTGGCCAGAGGGAAGGATGGATGGAGATGGACAGGTGGCAGAGAGGAAGGATAATAGTATACATTGGATAAATTGAGGTGAGGAGAGAAAGTACTCCAGGCTCACTTGGAAATTATTTGTGACAAAGCAGTAGACGACAGGATCCATGCAGCTATTCAAACTGCTGAGGGTGACAGTCAAGTGGTAGGCTATCACGTGATGAGGCATTTCAGGGTGGAAGTACACCACCACCTGCAACACAAGAAGAGAACACAGTCTACACAGTTCAGATTACTAACAACAATTTATGTTTTTGTTCAACATTTGTATCTACTTGTCTTGATAAGAAAGCAGTTTTTGTTTGTGACTACTTAAAAAAGCTTCCACTTATAAGAGATAAAGGCCTGAGTATGGAAATGAGTTATGAGCTCTATATTTTTTTCTGTCTCCGATAGTCATTTTGAAGGATATTATCTTGTGACCCTTTTGAGTTTGGACTACTTGAGTGATAATGGGCTATAAAAACCTGATGATAATACTTTTAAAAGAATGTGACATCCTCTCTCACTCACCTGTCGGATGTGGAAAGGTGTGAAGCAGACAGTGAAGATGATCAACACTATGCTCAGCAGCTGGACAGCCCTCCTTCTCCTATCTCTGAGAAATTACAGTTAAAAACACCATTACACCATCAGCATCCCAATGATCCCATGCACCATTTGCCAATGATGAAATGTCAGTTAATTTATCTCAGTTCTTTTACTTTTAAGGTATGATCTTATATGAAACTTGGACACTTAATACAACATGTTTAAACTGCATGATATGATGTACTTACTTGCTTGTGTGTGTTGGTAACATAATACTGATCATACCTGCTCTGCTGCATAAGGCGGCGGTCAGCTAGTGCCCACATAATCCGCACCGTGAAGACCATAATGATGATGAGCGGTAGAAAGAACTCAGTGATGGTTAAAAACAGGAGCCTTGAGAGGCAGCAGCCCGGGTTCTGGAAGGCAGTGGAAAGAAAGGAGTAGGTGACCACGATGGCAAACAGCCAGACTGACACACACACACATTTGGCCACACTGGAGTTCCTCCACCGACGGGAAGCTTCAACCTGCAAGGACAAAAGAAAATCTGTAGTTTCCTCCTGGATTTAAAGGTCCCCTATTATACTGTTTTTCATCAATATATTATAGGTCTCAGATATATACAAAACATGTCTCTGAACAGATCATGCATTGTAGCATCCCATAAACACCTCTGTTTCAGCCCAGTTTCAAAAGTGCTGATTCTGTGTCTGTTACTTTAGATGAAAATAAGGAGCCACTCTCAAAGCCCCTCTGAGAGATATTTGGTTAAAAATAACACAATGGTGCTCTAGGAGGAGATTCAGGTGATAAGGGGGGGGGGTGTTATCTTGGTTTGGGATTGGCTAACGGTTACACAAGCCAAAACATCGTTATGACATCACAAAGTGGCCAAAATCTGATCAGAAGCTCAGATTTTTATATAAATGGATCAGGACAAATAGTGAACGAATCTTTTTCCTGAAACTTTCAGAATCCCTTAACACAGAGGTGACACATGTTTATGTATAAAATTGAAAAAGTGGATTTTGCATAATTGGTGACCTTTAAAGTCAGAAATATCAGTTTTTTAGGCTTGAGAGCAATTATGTTACCATTCTGCAGGCAAAACCCACCTGCACGATGGCGAGGTACCGGTCCACACATATGCAGGTCAGAAACAAGATGCTGCAGTACATGTTGACAAAGTAGCTGAAGATGTGCAGGTAGGAGCAGGTGAGACAAGCCCCCCCACTGTAGTAGAGCAGGATGCGAGTCGGCAGAGAGAGATTCACCAAGAGGTCCGTCACCGCCAAGTTGATGGTGTAGATCACTGAGGTGGTCTTTTGCTTGGTGAGGAAACAGAAAACGTAAAGGGCAAGTATGTTGAGCACCAAACCAACCTGTGGGAGAGGAGAAAGGATTGGGATGTTGGTGCAGACGGCATGGTCACTATGAGTTGAAACTTATAAGGATGTAAAGTATATCTATCTTTACTATGAGTGCTCCCAAATAATGCCTACCATGAAAATGAGAGAGTTTATGACCATCAGTGCGATCCAGAGGCCGTAAAAGTCATGGTAGAGCCCCTCGTCTAAATGAGCCAGTCTTTGAAGATATGCTTCCATGCCACTCCTGTTACTGGCACTACCGATTACAGGCATTGTGGGAAATGAAGTATTGATCAAAAGCCAGGACTCAGTGCTGTTGAAATCCATTATAAAGGTAATTATGATGTTAATGATGAGGATAATGTTGGTGGCGATGATGATGAAACACGTAGTTAGGTGACGGTTAGGATGATGATATTGATCCAAGGTTGTTGCAGAAACTGTCGGACAAAAACACACATTGTTGTTGTACAATTAACATTTATTTGACATTTAGTCTAGTTGCAACGTGCAGAAATGTGCTTAAAGTTGCTATAATGTAAATCTGATTGTTGATATAACAATTTATAGCTGTCATGGGCTGCTAGCTATCCTGGCATTCACTAGGCAATATGGAAACAGACACACTTAAACAAGACTGTGGGAAGGATGTTAACCTTATGCAAATGTAGGGCTCACATTAATAAACCAAAATTCAGTTAATGAGTTGTTTTTAAAATAAATTTGACTGAAGATCAATGCAAATGTTGCTGTATAATCTGTGAAAAAAGGTTTAACTGCCATTTTTTTGTATCAGTTGCTTTGTTAGGGTCATGCTGGGGCCCCATGCGATATAGGGTTCCTTCATGATTAAGAAAGACTATTTCATACCAATACTTATAATATTTGCTTTATATAATTTAATATATAAAACACACATGTTTATGTTGCCCCCTTTCCCCCAGACCACCCTTGCTGCACTATGGTTGTTCCTGTTGGCATGGCCACTTTAAATTAATATCTGATTTATTCAGATCATTTATTTATAATATCATTGTATTTATTTATGCCTGCAGCAATGTTTCTCCAAGGGGTTTATTTATTTAGAGCAGTTTGTGTCAATGTAGATTTGAACTCATAGTTGTATACATCTTAACCTTTTTTTCAAACAATACACAGCAGAAATACATCTACCCCTTTTCTGGCTAAGATGTGACCTTGTCATGGCTATCATTACAGAAGAAGAAACCCTGTGTGTGTTCATCTCATTTAATTAGCACAGATGTGAACCATAAAGAGTAATTTGTTCTTTCCTAAATCATGATCCAAATGGCCAGTTTGTGTTTATTTACTTCGGAGGAAGAAGGTTCATTCTTGTCCTAATTTCTGATAAACAGCGTGTATTTGAATAAACTGGATACATTTATCACA